GCGGGGAGGGAAATCACAGCTTTGTTTTTCCACGGGGCAAAAAGGGCTCCACAGGAGCCTCCCTGCCTTCCTGACACTGCCTCTGTTTTTCTTCACACTAAAAATAAGCACAGCATTGGAGGTGGCCAACCACCAGCAGCTGATGTAGGGCAGAGCCCTGTGTCCCCAGACAGCAGCAATGCCAGGGGTGGCTTGCAATGGAAAAGGGACTGGGATACAGCCGGGCTGTGGTGGGAAGGAGAAGGATCCAGCAGCCAGGGCCGGCAGAAGTCCTGATGGAGGAGGGGGGTCAGCACTGGGGGCACCATCCGAGCAGCTGCGGGCAAACACTGGTGACCATGTCTGTGCTCCTACTCCTGCCATGGGGGATTTTTGGGATACAGGGGTTGCATTGCTCCTGCTCAGGAGATTCCAAGGATGTGGTGATACCTTGGCTGGTATCACCAGAGGCTGGGAACCTCTGCTCCAGTGGAGATGGCTCATCCCAAAGCAGGCAGAGCTTCACCTGGGTTCCGGGTAGAGGGAGATCATGGAATCACAGAACCATTTAGGTTGGAAAAGACCTTCAACATCATCAAATCCAACTGCTAACCCAGCACTGCCAAGGCCACTGCTAAATCCAGCTCAGGGCAGAGCTGAGTGCTCAGGGCGCAAGCAGGGACAAACCCCACGGGGTGTTTATGCAACACCACCAGAAAAATCAATGGTGCTAAAAGTGGTTGTATCCCATTCCAAAGTGCAGGAGCATCTCCTTTTATTCTCCTGTTTGTTATAAAATGCTGAGTTGCCACATGGAGATTACAGGAAAACAAAGACCATTTGGAAAGCTCGGGTTATGCAGTTCATCACTTTTCCAGCTGACCTGGCTGTACCTCCAAATGGGGAGGTGGCAATTCCCAGCCCTCACCAGCTAAAAACAAGGTGCCTGATCAGAGGGCACAGTCTGGGCTCTCGCTGGGCCCTCTGGAGTCAAGGGGAAATGGGAAAATTGCTCCATGACAAATGCTGTAGCAGCATGAGAGCAGGAGCAGGACACCCAGTATGCAGACCCCATGTCTCACCCCGGGCTGGGAAGGTCAGCAGGATGGGATGGAGGTGACATCGCACCGCACAGCCCATCCTGCACAGGTGCTCTGCCAGGAGCAGAGCTGAGGACTGGGAAGCAGAAGGAAGAGCCCACTCCTTCAGGATACAAAGGCAAAAACATGGAAGACAAATCCAGCTTCCAGTGCAACAGCTACTCCTCCCCTCTGTGCCTCGGCGCAGCGGAAGCAGGTCTCCCCTAACCACCATCCACCTTGAGAGAGGGCTGGGAATGACGGCGGTGCCGGGGGATTAGCCCTGGGTCTCCGCACCGCTGGAATGGCCTACTTTAACCACACACCAGATCTCCTGCCTCAGCCCTCTGCAGCGCTGCCGAGGTGGGAGCAGGGGCACTGCCCCTCTGACCCCCACCCTGGGACCCCGCAGCCCTGGACACCGGGATCTGCACCTTCTGGCACAAGGTCACAGCACGGCGTGTCCATTGCCCAGGGAGGGTGGGAACACCAGGATTTTATAAGCAGAACAGGCGCCCAGCAGCAGGTTCTGTGCGACAACCACAGCGCTGACCTTGCGGGGAGGAGAGAACAGAGCACCCGGCTCAGCCCACTCGGGTGTTTTCGTGTCCCTTTGGAGATGGAGCATGAAGCCATTAAGTAATAAAATGTCAACTGCACAGCAGCTCCAGCTCCAGCAATGCCCCACGGAGCCAGAGACACACTGGGATGCTGCACAAGCAGATATGGGGCTGGTGTTTGCAGGGACAGTCTGGTGCATAAGATGAGAGTCTGATCCCTATGACGTGGGACTGGTGTATGCAGGAGGGTCTGGTGCAGGAGAGGGGGGTTTGGGGTCTGCAGGGAGGGTCCGGTGCATGTGATGTGGGTCTGATCCATGTGACATGGGACTGGTGTAAGCAGGGAGGGTCTGGTGCATGAGATGTGGGCCTGGGGTCTGCAGGGAGGGTCTGGTGCTTGCAGGGAGGGTCTAATGCATGTGATGGGGTCTGATGCATGTGACAAGGGTCTGATATGGGTCTGGTGCATGTGATGTTGGACTGGGGCATGCAGGGGAGGATCTGGTGCATGTGATGTGGGTCTGGGGTGTGTAGGGAGGGTCAGGTGCATGAGATGTGGGTCAGGTGCATGAGATGTGGGTCTGGTGAGCGCGATGTGTGGCTGATGCTGCTGTGTGGGTCCTAGTGCATGTAATGTGGGTCCGGGGTTGTGAAGCAGGACTGGTGGGTGTGGTGGGGGGTCCAAGTGGCTGCAGTGTGGGTCGGGGTATGCCATGGGGATCTGGTGCATGCCGTGGACTCCGGTGCATGCAATACGGTCCTGCCGTGTGTGCCGCGGGGGTCTGGCACACGCAATGCGGGTGCGCTGCGGGCCTAATCCGTGACCCGCCCCGAGAACCCTGTGCCCCGGGAAGCCCCCCATTCTGACCCCCCGCGATGCGGAGCGGCGCTGGCAGACCCGTGCTGCGCCCCCCGCCTCCCCTCTCCGAATCTGCAGCCAGAAAGGGATGAGTCACGGCGGCCCCGCACCGCGCCCCCCGCCCCGCACCGCGCCCCGCACCGCTCACCTGCGCGGGGCCCCGCCGATGTCGGGGGCGGCAGCGCCGGCGGAGGGGGCTCAGCGACCTGCCGGGGAAGGGAGAGAGCGGGCGGTGAGCGGCGGCGGCGCGGTGCCGGGTGCGGTGCCCGGCGCGGTGCCCGGCGCGGTGCCCGGCGCGGTGCCCGGCGCGGTGCCCGGTGCGGTGCCCCGCGCCACCCCCCGCTGCCCGCGCCCTCCCCCGCCTCCATCACCTGCGCCGGCCTTCATGGGTGCGGCGGGGCGGCCGGGAGCGCTGGAGGGATGAGGGATGGAGGGAGGGATGGAATGGGGAGGGAGGGAGGGAGGGATGAAGAAGGGAGGGAGGGATGAGCCGAGCAGCTGCGTAATTTGCTCCCTCCTCTGCGATCTTAAAGCGACGGCGCCGCGGGTGCCTCCCCTCCCGCCGGGTTTCCCCCCGTTTCTATGGCAACCCTCCTCTGCCGGGGCGTAACCCCCTCAAAAAAGAAAACAGCCGGTTTTGGGGTCCTTCCCCGTCGGCGGAGCCCCGCGGACCGGGTGAGCCCTGCGCCCTGTGGCGCTGAGCTCCTCGCCCCGCGTAACCCCGGAGGAGGAGGAGGAGGAGGAGGAAGGGGAGGGGGGGAGACGGGGCAGCCCCGCTCTGCGGCCACCCGGCCCCTGGAGTCCCATCGGCGTCGTAATTTTCATTTTAGCAAGTCCAGCTCTGAGGAGATCCCTGCCCCAAATTAGTGACGCATTTTCATAAAGTAAAATCAATAAATAACTGGAATTCTCTGCCCTATTTCCATCCGCTCTGGGTGAGCGCGAATTGCCGGGGCTGGGGTGGAGAAGCAGCATCAGCCACAGCGAGCTGCTGCCCCGGGCTGTTCCTGGGGTCCGGGGGTTTGGGAGATGAGGCTGGAGGCTGGCACGGCACGGCACAGCACGTCCTCCAGCACAGCCCAGGTACTCATGGCATTGCCCACACGCTTCCTGCGGTAGCTGTCGAGATTAACCTTCCCAAATTATTCCATGAGGAAGCGTCTCGGGAGCCCCCGCGCCACGTCCTGCAGCCTGTGAGTGGGTGGGTGGGGGGAGCAGGAGGGCACCGGGTCTGGCTCTGCTCCGGTGTCCGCGGCCGGGAACGCCCAAGGTCGTCTGCGGACACCCCCGTGGAGACCAGGAGCATGAGATGCACGTGTTACATACACCCAGGTAACATCCGACCTGTGTGTGTCCACATACGGAATCATGGAGGGAAACGTTCCCGTGTCGGTGCGGTCAGAGCAGAATCAGCTCCTGCTTTGGGTCCGGACCTGAGGCCCATTGTGCTTCCCAGCCATTCCCAGCTCCCTTTGTCACACCCCCACAGTTATTCTGGAGTTCTGACAAACCTGTTTGGTTAATACATGCCCGTCTTTCCTCCAGCGCTATTTCCTGCATGATTTGTACCTCATTAATCCCGACACACAGACTGTTTTCAGTGTATATATATATCTCCCATTTATTCCTGCCCGCCTCCAGCTGCCTTTTGTTTCCCTTGTTCCTGGTGAATCCAGTGCACAGCCTCTATCCTTGAAAGGAAAATTAATGAGTTATCACATCTGCTGCCACTGGAGCAGCTCTGACCATGTGGCACAGGCAGCAGCTCTGCTGTGAGATGCAGAGTCATTCCTGATGGCTTTTGGGGGAGACAAATAGTTCCTCCTTCCCTCTGCAGTCTGCAGTGCTTGGTTTCCTGGGATGCTCAGACTCTCAGAGTGGGAGCACTGCTCCAAGGGGACTGGACCTGCTATGGGGAGAAAGGGAGAGGTTTTCACCAAAACCAACCCCTTTTCCCACCCAGGTCAGCACTTGGCTCTGGAACTGCCAGGCCCGGCCCAAGGAGAGGATGAACCCACCTCAGTTCCAGTCTTGGCCTGGGCCATGCTCCTGTTCTCACCCAAAAAGGGAAATAGCATTTGTTTTGCTGAAAAGGGAGAGGTATTTTACCAAACAGGGACACTTTTCCCTTTCTTACACCCCTCAGAGAACAGCAGCAAATGTTTATTGCTTATTTTATCAAAAATTCCTATGTGGAAATAAAAGGACACCAGCTGGAACACCCCATAGCCAGTGGCCACCCTGTGCCATCCTCCTGCCCCAGACTGGGGCTTCACCCCTTTTTAAAGCCTTTTTACTCCCTTAAACAGACCCTCAACCCAAACCTCACCTGCCCTGAACCCTGTGTGACAGGAACCACACACATTTGAGGGCCCAGAGACACAGGGGTGTCACTGAGGTGAAGTGAACACCCAAAAGCCAGGTGACAATATCACCCATCCTTTCCAATTTTAAGTAAAATCACCACATCCCTGACTGAGATGAACCCACAGGATTCAATCCTTCAGAAGAAACACCAACAAGTGAAGGAAACATCTAATTTTTATTGATTCCACATGAAGGGAGAGTAGTGTCCCCACAGCACCAGAGCACCTGAGTGGGGGCACAACCACTCCTCTGGTGTCTGTTGGGGCCACCTGGAAACCAAGAGCTTCAGAAAATGACAGTAAAAGGGGTAAAATTTATCTTAAATTAGACAAAAATACAAGGAACTAGTAATATTTCAGTTAACATCAATTTTTAAGTACATCTACACATGAATAAAGGTGCTAGTAAGTAAACTATCTCTGAAATCTGAAATTGCAGGACTTCTGGGTAATAGAATTTCTTCCTGAAACTTATGGACACTTCCAGGGCCAGTGTAACCTCTGTCTCTCTGGACACACAAAAGCAACACTGGAGACAGGACCTTGCTAGATCTTAAAATATCAAATACTGAACGTTCTTTGAAAGGAATAATTTTAAATAGACTAAATTTTTTGCTAAGGAAAGTTAACAGATGTCTCTTACTGATGGTGTGAGAGGATTAACAGACACAAGCCTCCATAAAAACAATTTAATCTCCAAAAGTGGTCTATGAGAAACGTTTTGAAGGACTTTATAAAATCCCTTCAAGGACTTTTATAAAATTCCTTTAAGGACTTCCATAAAATCCCCAACAATGTAAATCTCCTATGTAGAATATATGTTAGTGGTATCTTATTAACCTATCATATAACCATCGTATAACCATGAATATTAAAGATAAGCCCAGCAGTGAACACCTGGGGCAGCAGTGAACACCCACACGGGCCACTGCTGCCTGGTGTAAATGACAGGGAGCTCTGCTCAGCTCCCATGGTTGGACAAGGCACTCAACCCCTTTCCCAGGAAAACTGTTTGCTGAGAAGGTGTAACTTCAGGTGTGCCTTGATGAGCTGACGATTCTGTCAAACATGGGCCCGGCCGTGGCCGTGAGGTCGGCGAAGGGCTCGCGCTGCCGCAGCTCCAGGACCAGCTGCTTCTTCAGGACCAGGAAGATGTAAAACTTGGCTGCAGCTTCTTTCCGGTTGTTGTTCCGACAGAGCTCCCGAAAACTGAAGGAGCACGAGCCTGATGTCCTCAGTTGCTGTGTGAGGGAAATGAGAAATCAGTCAGGTCAGCTTCCCCGCCGCTCAAACAGGATCCCACGGGCTCCAAGCAGAGAGAGCTGCCCAGAGGGAATATCTGTGCTTGAATGCCTCGAATAGGATCCAGCCTTCGTGGAATCATGGAAGAACAGAACAGGTTGGGTTGGGAGGAACCTTAAAGATCATCTCATTCCCCCGCCCCAGGCAGGGGCACCTTCCACTAGACCAGGTTGCTCCAAGCCCACATCCAACCTGGGCTTGAACACTTCCAGGAGTGGGGAGTTTACAACCTCTCTGGGTATCTTGGCATCCGTGTTGATGGAAATGGCTCTGAACATTTTATTGCCACAGTATTGCTGGTACCTACCATGTGTTACTAAAATCTACAATTCCAATGAATTCCGTGACTCCAACGGATCACTTCCACCGTGGTTCATGTCTGAAAACACTAAATATCCATCTGCAGCCTGTTCTTTGGTTACAGGGACCTCACAGGCAAGAACTAAGTGTTCTTATCTCTTGTTTTTTAAAGGCTACACTGAGGTTTAAGTATGTATTTATTATTTGCACAGAGCCTTTGAAATGCGTTTGTATAAAATAATGTTCAGAAAAATCTCGTGATTCCTGCAGCTGTGAGAGGAGACCCCATGTCAGGCACCCCAAATCCTGACATAAATACCCAAAAAAGCACAGTTACATGCTGCAGGTGAGGGGCAGCAACATGGACAGTGTGGAAGGAGGAGCTTTTCTGACATGGTCCATCTGAAATCAACACCTGGTTTTGATGTCTAATAACAAGATCCAGAACTGGTACCTGTAAAGTTTTGTGTAACTGAAGAGTTCTTTTGCTCCATTTTATTTCTTCACTGTCTTTCTTGATCCTTTTTTGCTCCTTGAGAGGAAGTAAACAGAAAGTTAGTGTTTGTAAAAAGTCACACACTGTGATGAAAAGGAGTTCCAGCTTGACTGAAAACCTGAGCATCTGGGTGGCCAAAGTCAGGGAATCTGACACGTCAGTGCTCACACAAGGTTTTGTGAACAGAGAGAAGAAGGGTACCTGTGTGCTTTCTGCTGCAGAGACAGCTCAGGTGCAACAGGCCAGGTACCATGGAAGGCATTCCAGTGAAGCAGCTCCACAGCAAGGGACTGCTCAGTGGGACTGGGATTCTGACAGTATTTGTACCGGATGTTCAAATATTTGGCATGGGATTTTGGGCTTAACCTCTGAAGCTGGCAGCTGACTGCCCTGGTTCCTGATGCCACATTTTTTTTTTATTTTTTTTTTTTAATGTTTCTGAGAAAGAACAGGGTTCTCTTCTGAAACAAGCCAGGGCCACCAGCTCTGAGGACACACACCTTTGGCACCTCCACCTGCTGTTCTTCAGCTTCCTGGCCCAAGGAAGTTTTTGAGCTCTCGGAGAAAGCTGCTCCATCCAGCTGTGGGCACGGAAAGGACAATCAGCAGGGCTGACCATTTATCCATACAATGAGATTCTCATTACTTAGCTCTGCTCAGAGGATTTAATTATAATGAAGTTCTCCAAAATTAGCTAACAGTTGCTACTTCCACCATGCCTTTCCTGACACTGGGAAGGACCTTGCTGTAGGAGTCATCCTACAGCTGAACCTACACCTATGGGCACAGTTCAGTCACGTAGCACATGTTCTCTGCTGCCATTAGGTCCAATTTTGTCACTTTTCAACTTTAATGAGGCTTGTATTCTCTAAAGAATGCCCTTCACCCTAAGTGAAGATGGTAGAGATAGATAATTTGTTATTGCTTAAGTATTTCCTCAATATGAGACACAAAATGTTTTATCCTTTATAAAGATTATTATATTTATCTCGTCAGTACAATATTTCATATTTAATATTAAGCTTTCATTTATACTTAGTGATTAGACTGTAATCTATGCTTATCAACAGACAGTTTCATTAACCATTCCTTCACTGTGACAGTTTACCAAAGTAATTATAAATAAACTTTTATGACACAAGCTACTTCATGTTCTCTTGGTTGGCTTTAGCCTCCTTTTCAAACATTAATAATTTCTTAATGTGTTTTAGGTGGAACCTTAGCACAAAGTGGAACCAATATAAACACACTTAGGTCTCTAAAATTGAGGAAAACTGCTCACTATAGTTTCATCACAGTTCCCATTGGTTTCATTTCTGGCATTCTGTGGTGGAATAACCATAAAGGAGTCATTTCTAATATTTCTCTCAGTCTCAGAATGAGCTGACTCCTGCAGGTAACTTGGCTCTTCTACTGGCAGCATCCCTGTATTAATAGAAAACCAGAGTTCAAGAGGCAATTACTGTGAGTCACTGTCCTTAAAAAAACCCACTGAAAATCAAAAATCACACCCTAGTTTGCAATATTTGAGAGTAGGAGCCATAATGAGCAAGTATTAAAGAAACATCCTTCCCAACAGGAGAATGGAAGAAGAACCTTCCAAGGGAGTGTTTCCTTTTCTAAAAGTTGACCTTTGTGGATTCACAGGAGGGGGGTTTGTTGATTCATTTCTGAGGCAGAAACACAGGTTAGTTTTCACAGAGTGAAACATGACATTTTTTCTTGCCTGATATTAAGAAAACCAAATCTTCCAGATAGAAATAGAATTATTTACATGAATTTGAAAATTTGGAGAGTGGTTTGATTAAGCTCACAATAAGTGGGAATATTTTTTTTAATTATATTAAAAAAAACCCAAATAACACCACCCAAATCTGCAGTTTCAGAGACAGTCAGAGAAACCAAAGGTAACACTAAACATATCTCTTCATGCCACAAGGAAGAAAAAGATTTGCATTTCATTTAATTTCTAAAGAACAAAAGAACAGCAAAGGACCAATAAAAGCAAACATACAAACCAACCTTTTTTATTAATAACAACAGTCCCTTAACTCCCTTAACATTTAACTTTTTTGGCCTTTGATTTGTAGACTCCTGCACACAAACACCATGCATGTGTCTCAAACATTATGTAGAATAGAAAATAGTTTCTAACAGCTAATTCTGCACAAGAGAATTAAAATATTACCTGTGGTATCTTGGTCTTTTCGCATTTCTTCTATTTCAGAGACCCTCTGTACTCTACCTCCTCTCATCTTAAATCTGACACTCTTGAAGCATTTTTCAAACAACTGAAAATAATTATTTTTTCTTTGTTTGCTTTCAGAATATCACATCAGATCATTTGCAAACATCAACACAAAGGTATGAATACGAGCTGCATGTTAACTATCGGTACCCAGAACTTTAATATTTAAATTAGGCCATTCTGAAAATCTGCAGTTTTGATTTTTCTTTTTTTTTTTTTGAAGTAACAGCGTTCTGCAGCTTCAGCATTGTCCATGAACTCCATGAAAAAAAAAAAAAAGATCTTAGGAGCAGCTTGGATCATTTTCCCTTGAAGCCAGGAAGGATGAAAGAAAGAAATGTCTGCAGTTTTTATCCTCTTAGAGAGCAAGTTGTAATTCTGCAGCTGGACTCTAAGTGGTGAAGCTGCGCTGCTGCAGTGAACCCTTCCAAATCCGTCAGCAATACTCTAACAGTAATATTTAAGTCATCTGATGCACATTTAAAGTAAATATAGGCCAAAGATGTCTCAGATTGATTACAGAGAGGGAACAAGCCAGAAAACAACAAAACAAAGGAGAAAGTAGAACAGAAATGGACAGAAATGCAAAAAGTTGTGTCTTAGTGTAAGATCAGTCAGGTGCCAGTGTGTGAAATGAAACACCAACTCTCACGTCTTTGTAATTTTTCCCTTCTTGTTGGACTGCAGGAGGTTAAGGCTGTGACTCTACAGATGATGAAGTAATTAGTGGTGAGTGTGCAAATAATCCTCAGGTGTCCAGCTGACTTGCACTGCAGAGCAACGCTTCCCCTGACACTGAAATTCGGATCAAACTGAGTCTGCAAAACCCCTGTCAGCCAAATCCCACCTCTGCAACGGTCCTGGAATCTACTCAGTGGCATAAACCCCACAGGGAGCTGATCTTTACCTTTTGCAGGTCAGCGTGAACCACAGGCTGTGTGGAGTGGGACAGGAGTTTATCCACACCTCCCCACTCCTTCCACATCATCGTTTTCTTGGTTGGGGGAGCGAGGTCCAGCGTGGCCAGGATGTCTGTGCAGTTGGTGAGCTGGTTGTAAATGGCACTGCAGCTGAGCTCCTTATGTACATCCACCAGCAACTTCCTCTTTCTTTTGTTTTTTTTCCTCGAGGTCACAGCTACATAGAGCAAGTAATAAAAAACAAGTCTTAAGGTCTATTCCCAGGACATTAGGCACAAAAAATAAAAAACAAAAGCCCCGTGAATCAAACCAGCTGCTGACCCCCCAAACACCACCCAGACTTGAAAAATCAAAGTACAAGTGCAGAGGCCCTTTCTTCAAAAGATTGCATGAAATTTTCACTCTTTGTACTCCTGTACAGGAAATTCCCATATGTTTCATTACAGAAGACATATGACTATTGTACTAAAGAACTGGGAACAGGAGGACTTAATGAGAACTCATGATATAGCAGTGAGACTGAATAAGCTATCTTTAATCCATCAGGAAGTTAAGTGTTCCAAAAACTGCTGGTGCACTCAACAGGTTTCATTACCTCATAATTCATATCTGTATTTGTCAGTTTAATCCTTTAGCAATTTAATCAAGATGTAAACACAAAAGAAAGACACAGATTGGTCATATAGTCATAACTTCCTGAATATGGTTCTGGCAGGCTGGAAAATTCCAATGTGGTAAATATTGCTGTCAACGTGAGCTTGTTTATTTGCAAACAGCCAGCAAGGTGATAGGTAGCATTTAGATTTACTCACAGAGGAAATGTAATACTTTTTTTTTTTTTTGGATCTTTAATCAGAGTTAAAAGTTCACAAACCAACATTTTCCAAAGGCCTGAAAGTTTTAAGATTGTTATTTTAAACATAAAAGTCATTGATGTAATAAAATTAAAAATCACTGGTGATGAAAGTTCTTCAGGTGAAACTTCAGTACCACCCCTGAGCAGGCCAGGCTTGCAGTGCCAGCAGAGCAACAAAACTTGATTTGGTGCATGGAATAAACTGCAAGAAGAGACTTGGGCAGATCAGACAAATGACCTGACACTGGTTTTGTATAATAGTTACCATAAAATGGAACTCTGACAGAAGGAGCAGATGAAAACTAGAGTGGGAATAATCTCTTTTGCAAATATTTTGACTACTAAGGAAACCAAACATAGTTAATGCAAACATCCAGCAAGAAAGTGATCAGGTTCTGACCTGTGTCATCGACTGGCTCAAGCACAAATCCTTCTTCTTTGAACAAAAGGAATGTCTCGTTCATTGTGTGACTTACATCCTTCATGGTGGTGTCTGCACAGTTGGACTCAACTGCAAGAAAACCCAGCAAAAAACCCAAATGCAAGAAAGCTCACAAGATGGACTGACATCTCAATTGCACAACAGAGAGTGATATCAGAGGAAAATGGTGAGAATTAGACAACTGTGGCTTTGTTTATAAGCTCATAATTCTGTTCAGCAGTAATCACTGGCACTGCTGCTGCTCGTGCCCTGCCCTGCGCGTTTCCCTTCGCTGACCCCAGAAGGACCAGGCAGTGGGAGAGGCAGAAGAACTGATCTGCAGAAGAAGTGTTTAGGGGGAAATGTGTGTAGTTTCAATCTGTATCTGTTTGCAGTTCCAGGCAAGTGCAGGACAGTGTGGACATTTCTATCAATAGAGAAGGAACAGGGAGCACCAGCACTAGCACAAGCAGAGGCAAGAGCCACTCTATCCCTTTAAAGCTGTTCCAGAATTCTCAGTTTTAAAGCAACACCGTGATGGGGGAACAGGGATTTAAGATAACAAAAATTTCCCAGAAACACTTTTCAAAATGTAATTTATTTCATCAACATCAAACCAAAAGATTAGCAACACCTTTATGAACTACTTAAGTGTCATTTGTCACAGAAATATGAAACCAGAAATAGAATTTTTTTAGGTTGGGAAAGACTTTTTAAGCTCTCATAGGGAAAGTTCACAGTTATAGCACACCCTTATAGGGTTCTCTTCCCCCTCAAAAGGAACATCACACTGTGAGCAGCAGGGTGGACCAACAGCATATCCAACAGGATGCCACATAAAAGAGTTTCTAAGCAAAGTCAGGTTACAAATTTGGAATCCCTAAATCAAATGAAATTACCCTAAAGTAGGTGGATGAAGCAGTTTAGAAAAAAAAAAAAAAAAAAGGTAAAATAAATGAGGAAAGGAAAAAGCCACAGGATACTGCACAAAGCTGAATGTGTGTGACCTTAGGCATTAACAGGAACAGAGGGTTTGTGTGAGATGGAGCAGACTCTGCAAACTCACTGTTTGTGCTGTTCTCTGGCAGATCTGGTGACAAAGGACGCGCTTCTTCTATATCCAGAATATCTCTATCTAGGCCATTTTGCTCATCCCTCAACAGGATTTCTTAAACACAAAACACACAGTTTTAGTCATCCTAAGCCTTGGTAGTCATGAAATAGCCTGATACAGCCTGATGTTACTTAAGGTTAATTCTCTGCAAAGAAAGCAAGCTCAGCTTCCCCAGATGGCTGTCAGTGGTGGGGCTGTCTGCAACAGCACAAAAAGGAGAAGGTTAGTCCTAAGTTTGAAATTTCCATCTTTTCTTTGAAAAACATGATCTTGATAGTGTTAACAGGTATAAATCTATAAGGTTTATGCAGATATTCTAAGCCATAACAATGTAGAAGCTACTTTGCTGCCTTTGTTATTTCAACAGTAAGGATAAAAATGCTGCATTATTTCACCTTTGAAAACAGAAGTTAAACTGTTAAGCATTAAGCATAAATTTAATGCCTTTAATTCTAAAATAATGAAATATAGCCTTTAAACCAATTTGGCAGCGTCTAGGTGATCATAGATTTAGTCATAAGTAGAAAACAAATGAAGCATGAAAACAACAAATAACACAGAATTTATGTTTGAAAACAACCACTTTGGTGCTGTCTTGTTTGTTTTCCTGTAAGAATAAAAATATTTGGAGAGGAACTGATTCTGTTTGTCTGTTGCAAACCCTACCAATCATATCTGCAGCATCCTCCTCATCTCCAAAACGGTCATGCTGGAAGCAGAACACATCTTCGTGCAGCACAGACTTATCTCCACTGGCACTGGCCGAGTTGTGATCAGTCACCAGACTGTTGCTGCTCGTCAGGAAGCTGCCCTCAAAGAAGCTTTGCCTTCTCAGTGCATCTGCTTCTTCCTCTGAGGAAACACACAGCTTCTGATGCCTCATCTGCCTGAGCTTTGGAAACCCAGATTCATCCATTTCCTAGTTTTTTCAAATAATTTTTAGAAGATTGCAAGATACCCCATACCTCAGTTGGGATAATCAATAAACGATTCTGCTAGCTCAGGAAAAGCAGAGAATGTTTAGTTTGATTCTCACTCTGATATCAGATTATATTGCTTACATAAAATTTTAAGCACGAGATAGTATGACAGACCAACCAGAACAAACATGGAACAAATGCATGATAAATCACAGCTTTTTCACACGTGGAAAGGGATCTGTACAAAATTTCACATAAAATACAGTTTCCCTTATGGAATGTTTCTAATTTCTCAACTTCTCTCACCAAAGTTTCTGACACAGAGAGGTATGTTGCTTTCGTAATCCTCTGTAAGTGTGATGTCTTCAGCTCTGCTCTGATTCAAGGTGAAATGTTCAGCAACATCGATGGCACTGATGAAAAAAATATTATAAAAATAGAGGGTGAATTGAAACCCATTGAGCATTCAGCTGGAATGTGAAAATTGCTTCTAAATATCCTTCAATCCTAGAATTTCATCACAAACCCCCATATTTCTCCACTCTCTTTTGCCAGTAAACTTGGACTCATTTGATTTTGTTCCTGAAACATCTTTTAAACCGAATGACACAACTATTTGAGCTGGCAGAAAAGGCACCTTTACAGAACACACTTACCACACCAAGGCCCTTGAATAAATGGTATTACATTGCAGCTGTACTCACGAAATAATAAACCCTTACTGATCCCATCAAACTGTATTTATGGGGAGGTACAGAGGAAGCCTCAGTGGAAATCTGTTACCCTGGACCTTCAGGGCATCAGAGCCATCAGAAATATAACTTGGCCTCCTGCTTTTTTTTTTTTTTTCAGTTTTCTACTGAATTAATGCTGATCTGTGTTAGAAAAGCCAAAGAAATATGCTGGCTTTTCCTCGGGAGCCAGGTTGACTCCTGCTGATAAAACACCCCGGCCACGGAGAGCAGTGGAGCAGAAATGAAGTCACACAGTGGAACAGTACAACAGTGGGGTTACTGGCCAGAGTTTCCAGGATTGATACTAACTTTTATCTCTTCTCTTGAGATCAGAAAGCTGTTTGCATCCTTCACTCAGACAGTTTAAAATCCTGAAGTCTAAGTTCAAGGCATTAATTCATTGTGAAGGTCTGTTGATTAAAAGACTGAGGAAAACTACCAAAGCACGAAGACTGCACCTGTAGCTTTGTAAAGCTCAGAATTTAGGAGAATTCAGTTATCAAATCAAAACAACCCCATCTGAGTCTTGCTCAGGTAACAGCAAGGATAGCTTTTACTTCTGAAAATACTAAAAAGATTGAATAAAAACTAGGGAAGCATTTACTTTACATCTGGTAGTGGTGTTTCAAAATCATGAAATTCTTCAGGTAATGTAATGGACTGATAAGCAGCCTCAAAGTTCTCTTCTGGAAGGTCAAGAAGCCCTGAAAGAAACAGACAACATAACAAAGTAAGTATCAATAAAATAAAAGTAGTGTTCTCCCAAGTAGGTATAATAAGCCTATAAACCTGTCAGGAGGGGCTGCTGCCATTCTAAATCACAGCATGGTAAAGCTTAGGCACTCCAAAGTGAAATTTTATTTTCCACATCTTTTAGAAGATCTATTTTTTGCAGGCAGATACAGAAGAGTCTGCTGCAATAGGACCTGAAATATGTAAGTACTTGTGTTTCTGAATAGTTGCTTTAAGTTCCTGGAAGATTCTCCCAGCTGACATTTAGCCCAGAGTCTTTTGTGGCACTGCAAATGAATCACTGTGGTTTCCTTTTCTCTCCTGTGTCTCCAGCATCAAATAATTATGTACTGAGACTGCAAGTACTTGGAAATCAAGAGAATCCTGGAACAATTTGGGCAAGAGGGGATTTCTGAAGGTCATCAAACCCAACCTTTTGCTCGAAATAGAGTTCACTTCACAGTCAGATCACTTTTGACTATTTCTGCTGATGGAGATCCCATAGGATCCCTGGACAGCCTCTTTCAGCATTTTACCACTTCCACTGAGATTTTCTCCCCCCTTCTGTCTAGTTTTAGTCTCTGTTTCTGCTGTGACACTTGTCTTGTTCTTATGCTGCATGGTGCCCTCCAAGCTGCTATAGTATCTATCCAAAATAGCCTCAAGATGTGCCGGGGGGTTTCAGTTGGATGTTAAGGAAAGTTTCTTCACTGAATGGGTTGTAAAGCCCTGGTACAGATTTCCAAGAGCAGTGGTGGAGTCATCATCCCTGGAGGGATTTAAAACATGTGCAGATGTGGCACTTGGGGACATGGTTTAGTGGTGGCCTTGGCAGTGCTGGGAGGAACAGCTGGACTAGATTTTTGGAGGGCTTTTCCAACCTAAACAGTTCTGTGAGTCTATGATTCTATAATCATATCTTTGAAAATAATGCAGAGTAATTTTTCTCTATTCTGCAAACAGACCAGGTCACAAAGCACATTAGAGCTGGCAATAGACATTGGTGTCCCCGTTCTCAGCCTTTTTTTAGACAACAGTGCCTCACATTTGTTGCCTAAGTACAACAAACATAGAGCCTGTTGGATAAGGATCCAGTCATCTCAGCTCTCTTCTCCCTGGCTACATGGCCAGAGCTCAAAACATGCTGTCAGGTCTGGCACTGACACTGTTAGACATGCTGTCAGTGTCATCAGAAATTAAAATTAATTATCCAGCAATGGAGGCTGAATTCAAGCATCTCCTTGTAAGCCTACTTAAGATGCTGCTTCTGTTAAGGGAGTCAAAAACTTGAAATAGCATTAAATTAAGCCAGACTAAACACCAGCGGTAGGCACAAGTATGTTCGGTTGCCTTTGGGATCAATAATGTGTATTTAACAATATCCAAAAATTAATTTTTAAAATGAGAGTTGTAAAGGATACAGCTGGGAAAGTGCTGGATTTTGAACACACCTGGGCGAAAGGCTGACTTCATCTTGGTCAGAGCTTCGCTGCAGTCTGCCAGGAGGTACTTGGCTTTCCTGTGGTAAATCCGCACCACTCCCAGGAGTAAGTGTCCAGAGGTTCGCAGAGCTATAGCAAACTTAAGGATTTAAAAAAAAAAAAAAAAAAGTTGTTCAGGAGTTAGGATTTTTTTTTACAGTTACAGTAGTAACAGAGTTCCCTATGAGAGACAAACACCTTCACCCCGGAACTTTGCAGGAGATTGCTCCTCATGGCACAGCCTACCTTTGGGGAGATGATCTTTTGCACGGTGTCCTCTAAATTGCACTCAAAGATATGTGCCTTGGTGAGCTTCTTCTCCCAGTGGGCAGCCAGCCAGATTTTGGCCAGCGGCCCCCGCTTGTTGATGAGCAAATGGACGTAGAACATGGTGCCTGGCCAAGGGTTGCAGGGCAGCCCTGCTGAAATTCCCCTTGGGAAATTCCCCCTTCCAATGGGAAATGGGTCCTGGGGCACCAAGTGGGACTAGGGGTTTAATGGGATCTGAGGAAATGGGGGACCCAGTTGGGTGCTATGGGGAGGAGGGGATTTATGGGATCTGACTGGATTGGGGGCAGGGGAAACCCAGGTAGGTATTGAGGGAATGGGAGGATTTACTGGGATCTGAGGGGATGTGGTACCCAGGTGGGTATTGAGGGGATGGATGAATTTAGTGGGATCAGGAGGGGACGGGGAGATTTAGTAGAATCCTGAGGGGATGGGGACACCCAGCTGGGTGCCAAGGGGATGGGGGAACCCTGAGAACACTGAGGGAATGAAAGGATTTACTGAGACCCTGAGAGGAGGGGGACGGTGAGGGGGAGATTTGGCAGGACCTTGAGGGGACGGGAGGGGGAGGATTTAGTGACCCAGACGGGCGCTGAGGGGATGAGGAGATTTAGTGGGATCTGAGGGGACAGGGTGCCCGGACAACGCCGGGCTGGGGGTGGTGGTGGTGGTGTTGGATTTAGCGGGATCCTGAGGGATGGAGGGGCCCAGCCGAGCTCTGAAGGAGCCCAGCTCGGCACTGCGGGGATTAGCGGGCGCTGAGGGGGCGCGGGGGCTCGGCGGGGCGGGCGGGCCCTCCTCAGGCCGCGGCTCAGCCAAGGGCGGGAAGGCGCCGCAGGGCGGTCCCGGTACCGTCCTCGGAGCCGCCGGTTCGCGGCAGCCCCGGCCGCGGTCCTGCAGGGCTTGTGTCCCCTCGCTGCGGCCCTGCACAGCTCTGGAGCCTCCGGCAGGGCCCTGCCGCTGGAAACTACTCCCCATTCCTTCCTGGGGCTCACCGGGAGCACACACACATCCCTGGGGGCGCCCACACATCCCCGGGAGCACGGTGCTGCGCCCCACATTTCAGGTTCCTAAGAGAGGAGAACAGTCTCACTCTCGTCCTTCTCCTTCCTCTCCTCATCTTGCCTCCTTCTCCTCCTCTCCTTGTACTTCCCCTCCTCTTCTCCCAACCCCTTTCACCCTTGACATTTTAAGAGCCGGCTTGCAGGCACCACCCCATCCATCTCTTTCTCTCCAGGTGAGCAGCTCCTCTGTGGCTCCAGGCACGTCTGATAAAACTCCCTTGTGAAGGAAATTTGCAGAAGAAAAAGAAAAGAGGAAAAAAAGAGAAAAAAAACCCCAAACAAAACCAACAAACACAAAAATTCCCCAAAAACCCAGATCTTCAGACAGGACCTCTGTGCAGAGGGAGAAGGGGAAAGGTTTGCAGCCACCCACCTGCACCAGCCCCAGCCACCACCGAGAGCAGAAGGCAGTATGTTTGCACACTTAAGTGTCGTCAGACAGGGAAAAATTAGTTTGCAACCCTCTGCTTCGTGCTTTCCATGCTTTATATTCAGGCAGAGCACAGCAAGGCTCCCGCTGCTCCCAGGCACAGCCCAGTGCATCAGCTGTTGCCATATCACAAGGCACCTGTGGTTTTCCCTGTCTCCCTGGTGTTATCTGAAGATAACGAGATCTTAATTATCACCAAGAAAGTGCTGAGCCTCTTCCCAGTGTGGCTCTGCAGTTGGTCATAGTGGGAAGCAGGGCTCTGTCCTTCCATCTGCCTTTGGGCAGAGTGGGAACACTGGGCTGGGGCTCAGATGTTTGAGGAAGGGATTTTTTGCTATAAACCACCCTTGGAATGGTGTATCCACAACGGGGACTTGGAGGAACCTCCCATGAGCCCCAAAGCAGATGTCCACTGCCCCTGCCAAGGCACCAAACCTGCTTGGGTGTTCCACACCCTATGAGAGGGAAATTGCCCTCTCTGGTGCCCACTGTGCTGCTCCAGACCTCCCCAGTGCTGAGGCTGATGTCCAGCCCTGCCTGCCTGGGCAGTGACAACAGCTCCTAGGAGCAATTTGCAGAATCAGAACCCCCCTGCCCTGTGGGGAGCACTGGGGTGCTGTGTCTGTGTCACACAGGGACCAGCAGTGACAGGCGGAGAGGCTGTGATGTGCCAGGCACCGCTGGTCCTCCCAAACTGCTGGATCTCTTGATGGTGTGGAGCCAGCTCCTGAATTGCCCAGCTGCTTCTTCCCTGACCTCCGAGTCACCTTGAGCCATGCTGGCTGCGGGCGCTCGCTCTGCCATGGGATGCTCTGAATGCTAAGGAGGCAGGAAAGAAGCTTCACCTCAGTGCTGGGGCTGGATCAGGGTCAGCACTGCCAGGGGGCACCAGACAGCTGTGCACACCCCAAAATTGGGCTGTGCTGCACAGGGCTGTGCTGGGGGACAGAGCCAGGTATACAGCCCATCCAGCTTCATCACATTCCTGCTCCTGCTGTCCTCCTCTGCCTGCCTGAGGCTCCCATTTGCTGTCCCTCTTATCCACGTTAATAATTTCTTCTGAGCAGTGACATGTGCGCATCCCTGGCAGCCCCGTCTGGCTCCCTCACCCTGCTCCATGTCCCAGACTCCCCCGCCCTTTCCCTTTCTTTCCAAGCCCTCTGTCTCTCCCCTCCAGCACTCCTGCAGTTTCATTGTGAATTTTGGCAGTGCTCTCTCTGACCTTGGCTGTCTCCCTCCTCTCTTTGCTCCTGTGCTGGCAGCATAAATCCTGGCTGTCTCTGTCTCCTTCCCTTCCCTCAGTGCCAGCACCTTGGGGATGGAGTGGCCCTCAGCCTCACGCTCAGCCCCTCAGGATCAGGCTGGGGAAGGTTTTTGGGCTGTCCTGCGGCCCTTCAAAGGCCTGGGGTCACCTCCCGGCTCCCATCCAGCAGTGGCAGTGGGATTCTGGGGCAGCACAGTGCCAGCAACGATGGTGGCAGGATGTGTCCCTCCACCTCATCCGTCACAGGTGGCCTCCCGAGTGTTGCTGTGGGATTGGGGTGCAGGAGCAGCCCCCAGGCAGCATGGAGCCCTGACCCCATGGCAGGCTCAGCCCTGTCACTGTATAAAGGCATGAATAGCTCTGCTTCTGCCACCCAGATTCCCATTCTGGCAGGGCTCCCAGCCTTTGCATCCCTGGGCTTGGGTGCTCCAGAATGGAGGGCTTGACCAGGGCTCTGTTCAGGAGCAAACTGGCGTCGGTTCTGTCTTCCCATGGAATTTGGCAATGGTGAGACAGCAGATCTCCTCCTGCCCGTCTGTTCACAGAAATGTGCCCGCCTGCTCCAGATCCATCTTTTCCTGCTGATTCGGGACAATCTGTGTCCCATGACCTACTTGTCTCCAAGCATCTCCTGCCTTCCCGTGGAGTGGGTTGATACTAAAGCCTCTCTAAATGTGGTTAACATGTCAGGATGCACTTACATTTATTTTTAATTCTGCTTTTTTCTCGGCCCACTTTTGGCTGAGTCCCCAGGGACATTGTGCTGGGAAGTTTCTGTGTTTCATAGAGTCACGGAATGGTTTGGGTTGGAAGAGACCTTACAGATCATCTCATTCCAAGCCCCTTGCCATCGGCAGGGACACCTTCCTTTAGACCAGGCTGCTCCAAACACCCTCCAGCCTGACCTTCAACACTTCAGGGATGGAGCATCCACACTGAGGAGGCAGGAGCAGAGAGCAGGTGGGTCACGGCACACAAAACTTACACTGCAAACTTAAAAAATAATAAAATCACGTGTATCCATGCCCCTGAGATGGGAAACAGTGATGCTATCAACCATCCTTGGAGTGATGTTTTCCTAGCCCACCCCGCAGCCCTGTGCCCTGCTGCAGCTCGGGGAGTAGAGGTGCCATGTGTTGGTCTGGAGAGTGCTGGTCAGCATCATGGATAGGCACTGTGCCTGGATGGGTGCTGAGCTTGGATGGGCGCTGAGCCTGTCCAGCCCTCAGAAAACACAAATGCACCTCTTTATTTGTGCGGCGCTTCCTAAACTCTTTGGTGCTTTTCGATCCCTTTTAGCTGCATCTGACAGAGACTCCAGAGAAAATCCCTGGCCCTGTCATGACACAGGTGGCAGGAGACTCCCATCTGACATCCCCACACAGGGCAATGCTCTCCAACTGTGACTGGCAGGGAGCCCAGTGTGGCTGCAGAGGAACACACTGAGGGGGGATAGGGTTCAGGACATGGGCGGGACAGGGTGCAGGGCATGGGGGGCCCAGGGCGCTGGTCATGCATCCCTGTGTCCCTGGCACTGTGCCAGCAGCACTGGGTGAGCTTGTGGGAGATGCTGGAGGCATGTGAAGCTGTTGAAGGGAATGGCAATGTGATGGACAAACCTTCCCGGCAGCTGTCAGCAGCCCACCCGCTATCACTCGGGATTTACATCCACATCCCCAGGCACCGCTCCAAATGTGGAAATAGACCACGTCTTATTAACAAACGAGGGGAAACGTGCGGCTGCCAGCAGGTCACTGCCGGGGCACGGGCCTGGGTCCGGTGCCAGGTCAGGGAGAAGCAGGGTGTGGGCACTGACGTGAGTTCTCTGTGAAAAATTGAATAAATTGTGTGTGCGTGTGTGTGTGTGAAAGGGGGACTCTGTGCCATGGGACTGCAGTGGGACTGTGGTGGGACCACGGGGGCCAGGCTGTCTCAGTTTGGAGCATTTCATACCTGACGTAAACCCGGGTCAAACCCCCAGTTCCCTCTGGGGATTTGGGGACAGGCTGTAACCTTGTGGAGACTCAGGGTGGGCAGCGGCCGGGTGGGAGCTCTCCCTGCTGCCTTTAGGACTGGGGACGCTCAGGTTGCAGCCCCAGTGTCCCCAGCCCAGCTGTGCCCCGTGGTTGTGGGGAGCACGTCCCCCAGGCACACCCCATGCAGACCCCACGGTTCTGCCCTGCCCTCTCCTCCAATGCCCCTCCCCACGCAGCCCCCCGCGGTGCCCACGGAGGGTTCTGGCGCTGTCGGGGAGTGCACGGAGGGGTCCCTTTGCACGGGGTACGTGCGCAGGAGGTGCCGGTGTGCAGCCGGGTGTGTTCATGTGTGTGCCCCCCGTACGTGTGTGTGTGTGCGTGTGCGTGCGGCTGCCGTGCGCGACCGCAGCTCGGGGCACCCACCGCCCGCCCCGCGGCGGCACCGGCACCTGCCCGGGGAGCCGGGGCGGCGGGGGTAGGCATCCCGGCTCGGGGGGCCGGGTGGAGAAGGGAGGCAGCTCGGTGCGGGCACCGGCGGGGCGGGCAGACCGAGCGGAGAAGCGGGAGCGGAGCCCAGTGCGGGAGCGGGGAACCGGCGGGCAGAGCCCGGCGGGAGAACCGATTGCGGAGGGGGGCAGCTCGGTGGGGTCACAGGGACACGTGTCCCCACGGGGGGTGTCAGCCCGGTTCGAGGAGGTGGGTCGCGCAGTGGGAGCACGGTTTGGGAAGGGGGAAGAGCCGGGTTCGGGGAGGCAGGTGCCGGGTTCAGGGAAAGGGAGCAGCCCGGTGCGGGGACTCGGGGAAGGGGAGAATTCCAGTCTGGGGGCTCGGCTCCGGTGAAGGGGGACAGTGCGGGCGGGGACTCAGCTCCAAGGGGTAGCCCGGTACGGGTAAGCGGGATCCCAAGAGGAGAAGCCCAGTTCGGGGACCTGCGGGGTGGGGTTGGCAACCCGGTTCGGGGCAGCGGCTCTTGGGACAGAGAGCACCCCGCTCCCAGGGGTCATCTCGGGTTTGGGCGAGCATCCCGTCTCCTGTCCGCGGGAATATCCCATCCCGGTCCGGCCGCTCACCTCTGGCCGCGCAGGCCGGCGGCGGTTCCATGGCGTCCCCGCGGGTGGCAGAGCTGCGGAGCCCGGGCGAGGCGGCGGCGGGTGCGGCGGGTGCGGGGGCTGGTGCGGGCGCGGGGGGGCCGGTGCCGGCGGGCCCGGGGCTGGCGCTGGCGCTGGGCTGCGCCCTGGGCGGCGCGGCGCTGGTGGTGCTGGCGGGGGCCGTTCCGCGGGCGGCGCGGCCCGACCCCGCCGTGCCGGCGCGGCAGATGGAGCGGCTGGAGGCGCGGGCAGCCCGGCTCCGCGCCCGCCTCGACCGCTGCACCGTGGCCGGGCTGGCGCTGCTGGCCCTCGGCGGGCTCCTGCTCGCCGCCCTGCTGCTGGCCGCCGCCGCCGCCCGCCGCCGCGCCCGGGCCGCCCACCGCACCGGTGGCACCTACGGCTCGGTGCGGCTGCGGCTGCGGAGGGTGTCCGCTGACGGGACGCGGGCGCTGCTGGAGAGCCAGTTGAGCCCCCCGCCCCAGCCCCCCGAGGGGCCCGGCTCCTAGCCGTGCACGCCCCGGGGACACCCTGCTGCCGGCAGAAGCGGGAGTCCCCTTGCCTCACCCGAACACCGATACTACCTGGTGAGACTTGGCCCGTGCCAGCCTTCAGCCACCACCCTCGCCTCCTTGAATCCTTTTCGGATGGGGCTCCCATCCGGCAGCACCGGAGTGATGCGGCTTTGGGATATACCACTGGTCTGGGCTGTTCCCCACCACCAGCACTGGGACAATGTGGCCTTCAGACCCCCCATCGCCTCTCCAGCACCTTCCTGCCACTAGAATCACAGCAGCAGCACCGTCAAGGCACCCATGGGATTTCCACACCGTGGCCGGTTGCAGTCTGGGCTGAACGTGAGGCTGAGCTCCTTCCCACAGCCAGGACCTGACTGCTCCTCTTCCCAATGGATCTCCTCAGTTTCTGCCATCAGTGACCTTTCCTAGCAATAGTTTCCTGTAAAACTCTGTGGCACAGAGCTGGTGCTTGCACTGCTCCAGGCAGAAGAGGAGGAGGCAGCAAGAACGGCCACCGCCCGTGCAGTGGGGGCCAGCCCCACCCCACCCCCTATCCCTCACACCCCACCAGCACTGTTCCACACCGCAGGATGAAGGCCAGGACACGCGCCCGCACTGTGCTGAGCATCCCACTACCACCAGCAACCCCAGAACAGCCTCCTCAAAAATCATGGTGCTCTGTACAGAGGAGAGCGGATGATTCCCAGTGCCTCGAGGCAATGTGGTGGCCCGACAGTGCTGCCACTAGGGTGTCCCTGCGCCGACCTTTGTGCTGATCCCAGGGCCGTTGCCCGTGGCAGGAAGGCAAAATTGCATCTCGGGAATTAAACATGAAGCGTCATTAAAGCGCAGTGTTCTGTGGAAAGAGAAATGGGTATGAGCAGGGTGCTGGGAAAGGGAAATAATTATCCCATTGGAAAATGCACACCCACAAAAGGTGCTGTTATGAACTGCCACCAGTTTTCAATCCATTCTGTAAATTACCCACTTCAAACGTTCCCAGGCGGGGACAAATCCCTCCAGACAGCCCGACATAGAGGAAAGTCACTTTTAGACCCAGTACAGTTGCCTGGGTTGGGCTTTATTCCAGGGCTTCCAGTGTCCCCTTGGATGCCGGGGAGCGTCCTCTGCCCTGTGTTTCCATTTCCAAGGCTTTGCAGCTAATTCCCACTGCCGTGAAGGGCCATGTGTCCCTCTCCATCACTACATCACCCAGCCACACTCTATATTTATTGTAGGATCCCAGGAAACAACCTTGAATGGCCTCACACCCACAGTTCTGACACACAGGTACCTCTCCCTGGGATGAAACCACGCTTGGGGTGAGATTTATGGCTGTGCTCTGCTATCTCCAAAAGGTCCTGGTGCGGATGCGGGGGTGACACCGTGGGAGGGAGGGGATAAAGGGAAAGAAGGGGAGGAAGGGGAGAAAGGGGGAGCTCTGGGTCTTCCCAAGGCGCTGCCCTGGGGAAGGCAGATGTCCCTCCCACAACTCAGCACTGGCCCTGTGTGTCTGGATTAGAAAATAAACCCGTTAGATGGAGAAATCATCCTCATCCCTTTTTGTCGCTTTAAATAAGCTGGAAGAAGCGTTTCCAGGATGAAAGGCTGAGCCTGGTGGAGGTTACAGCTGCTGAGCAGCTGCTGTACGTGAGCACGAGAAATACTCCCGTGGATTAGGGCATGAGGCTGCTCAGGAGTCTGCGGGAAGGGGCTGTTGTTGCTTTGTCAGCACGTTGCTGGGCTGTGCCTTGAGTCCCTGCAGGACTGGGGGGAAATCTCTACATGGAGAAAGATATATTTGCAGTGAGCAAACTGTGTTGAGGAAGGAGTGCCATTAAAGACGATTTACCACCGAGAGTCCAGGGCTGGGAAATGCTTTTGTACACAGACAGCCCCCACCCCCGCCAGGCTGAGGCAGGGGGACATGGAACTCTCTGGCCTGCCTGTCCCTTTATCGCTCTGGCAGGTGCTGGGGACGAGGCACTGGTCTACGGCAGTCAACTCGCAGAGGGGTATTAGGAAGCAATCCAAAATAATCCAGAGCGATGAGAAAATTTGGCTGGGAAAGGCTGATGCTGTGCAGCCTGGGTGGGATGAGGGTCACTGGCTCTCCAGTCCCCCAGCAACGGTGTTTTTGGGGTGTCTCTACTTGTGCCAGGGAAGAGAAAGCAGGCAGGGCCCAGCGTGCCTTTCCCAGTCCCACATAACTGGGCCTGCTTTGTTTTCCTGCTGGGCCACACGCATGGCTTCCCTGTACCCGGGATCCCAGGGATGGAGCACCAGCTGCAGGGTAATTAGCAGCACTGGGGGCTCTGCCATCCCATCAGGAGTGTGTGGGCAGGTGCCATGGGCTGGGTGGGCTGGCAGATGGCCTGAAGGACTCTCTGGGGATCCTGAGCTATTACCAATAATCCAGTGCCTCTCTTTAAACGTGTGGTGGAAATGCCTCCCCGGTGCTGCCGGAGGAGGGAGGCTGTGCCTGTGCCAAGACCGCACACCCAGCCCCAGCCGCTCCTTGCAGACTCCCCATAAAATTAACATGGGGCGTGTTGCTGTGCTCCCGTGCATGTTAATGTTTCCTGCCACTTAGGGTAGCAGCAGCAGTGCCGAGGACAGGGACACATGGCTGAGGGCCTGGACTGTCCTTCTTGCTGAAGGGAGACCTGGCCCTCACAGCTGTTGTGGTACGAGCCCGCAATGGGGGTGGCTGCCCCCAAACCATTCGCAGGGAATGGGGTCTGGGCTGGCCAACCCTATGGATGGAACAAGGAATGTGCTTGGGAACACTGGCCCTCAGGAGCCACCTCTGCCATGCTTTGTCTCCTTTAGTGTGAGCCAAGCCAGCCACAGGGACAGCGTCCTGATCCCACCATCCTCTGACCCAGAGAGGAGGATCCTTGCCTCCTTTTACCTATCCTTTCCAGAGTGGATGGCTCAGCCCTGAGAGCCCTGAGGCTTAGGCACAGGCCTGCAGTGGGCACTTGTCCCCTTTGGCACCCACTCCCCTCCTCTGCCACCTGTTTCCCAGCTGCACAACACCACGGACCCGCCGGGGCCAGGCGCTGCAGACAAAAGCCGGTTCCTCGGCCCCGCCGCAGCCTCTCCCGGCGCTGACTCGCTTTAATTAGCCCCATCAAAGCCGGCTGCGTCTCTCCCTCCTGGAAGGTTGCAGAACATGATTAATTCAGGCACAGAAAGCAGCCTCCCCCCCGCAGAGAGGGGCCCCTTGATGAGGCCAAAGCTGTTTCCTCTTCCCCAACACCCCACGCAGCAAGGCTGGGGTCTGCAGTCTCTCATCCCCAGCGGAAAGGTTTGAGGCTTTGTTCTCCTGGGACAAAGCTGTGGATGGGTTCAGGCTGTCCAAGGAGCCGGATGGGACAAGCAGGAGCGATGGCCTCACCGATTCCTGGGTCTCTCTGCCCATCCCTCCCATGCTGCTCTGGTCACAGGCATCACCCACAGCCCATCCGTGGGTCTGCAGGTGAGACTGTCCATGAAAAACCACCAGGTGTGCAGCTGGGATAGCACATCCGGTGGGTCTGGGCTTAGAACCAGCCCCTGCACATGTAGGGGTCCACACACAAGCCCATGGGGGATGCAGGGGATGCTCCAGCTGCCCCCAGCCCCAGATTTCTCTGGCTGGCCTTTCCTGCTCCCACCTGTGCCTGGGGTAGCACACACTGTAACACAGCTTTATTAGCTGCATCTGTAGGCAAAGAGGTTTTAAAAGGAAAAAGTCTTTGGGGAAAAGAGATAGATAGGGGGGATCCCTTCCCTCTTTTTATTTCTGCCAGTGCAGCTGCATGCAGCGTTCCGACAGCACTCAATGCCCTGGAGAGGCAATTACTGCAGGAGCTGGGCTGGGCTGTTCTCCACTTCATTTTCCTAATACAGTTACATCGTCTTGGAAAAGCGCTGCTGGCTCAGGGGAAGATACAAAGCGGGTTCCCAGTGTGGATCCTCTGCCTTGGGAAGGGCTCTGGGGCTTCCCGTCAGAGAGCAGGGGCCCACCCCAGCAAGAACAAACACAACACTGGTATCATGTTTTTATTTCAGTCTCACAAACATCCTTCCAAGAGATCAAACCATGAGAAGAAAAACAGTGTGAGCCCCTGACAAGGAAGATGAGCTGCAGCCCCAAAATCAACTGAGCTGGGGCATCTGTGGGGAAGGGAGGAGGTTTCCAGAGAGAGCTCAGGAGCCTGAGGCACACAGATCTCCCCCATTCTCCCAAAGCCAGACAGGCAAAGCCACACACAAGGCTGACAGTAGCAAAATGTGTTCTATAAACCTCTTTTGCAAAGCTCCCTCTCTCCTACCCCAGCCCCATGCAGTGTTCGGTGGGCACCCCTCGTCACGCTGCCTGTGGGGCTTCACGGACACCCCAGGAATGAAAAATACCACGGCTGCAGGGAAAAGAGGGGGCATGGTAAGCCAGGAATTCAATCTATGTCTCTTCTCATGCACATCAAATGCTCTGCTGGTAGTGCTCTTCCAAGCCAGCAGGCACAGCCCTGTAGAAGCTGATCCCAGTCGCTGTTGGGGCTCTACCCATGGAGACTCCGTGGGTTGGGCTTTCCAGCCCTTCAGTCAGTGCCTTGCTCAGACACAGAGCGAGAGAGAAACCCCCTCTGTGTGGGGAGCCCACTTCAGCTGTCCCCTTCAGCGAGGCTGCTGTGGCTGCCTGGCAGAGGAGCAGCAAGGAGCCAGCTCTCTCCTCACACCCACTGCTTTTTGGGACCCCAACAGCAAGCTCTGCCACCCTGGAGAAGCAGGGAGGAGAAATCCCACAGCACCCAGGCTGCTCCCAGAGCACCGCGCCCCACGGCCTGGCACCCTCAGAGGAGCAGGGAAAAGAAATGGACCTACTGCCTCCTCTTCTGTTCTGCAAACAGGGAAGCCTTTATAGCAGATGGGACACACGGGAATGCAACCCCAAACGGAGAGAAACGCTGCTGGAAAGATCTAAATCCACCGATGTGGAGCGAAGAGGGGAAGCACATCTGCTTCCCAGGAGACTCAGCCACTCAGTGACTCCTCACATGAACATGTCATCGTAGCCTGGAGGGGGAAGGTGGTCGGGATCAGGCCTGGAAAGAAATTTAGAGCAGAGTCAAACAGGAGTGAGAGCTCAGGTCTGCAGCAACAGGGATGAGCTGGGATCCAGCAGCAGGCTGGAAGCAGGCTGGAATATCAGCATGGCCAAGGACCTACCCAGGTCGTCCAGCTCCTAAGGGGCTAAAGGGGTCGAATCTGGCACCTGGTGGAACAGCTCCTGGGGGAAGCCGGCCTGGGATGCCTGATGATGGGTCAATGCCGGGCTGCCGGAAGCCAGATCGGAGAGGATCCACGATCATTCCCCCACTCCGACCTCTGGGGAGAGGAAAGGCAGAGAAGAAGATGAGATTGGCACTGGTGAGATAGGAGTAAAGCACATCCCTGGTGCCAAACCTCTGCTGCAGGAATGCCAAGCATGGGAACATGGGGTTAACCTGACACACGGCAGTGGGAAGGAAAGCTCCTGGGACAAGCCAGTGAGGCAGCCCATGGCAGAAAGACAGAGAGCCCTGCACAGAATCCCCAAGTGGTTTGAGTAGGAAAGGACTTCAAAGCTCATCTCATTCCAACACCCTGCCATGGGCAGGGACACCTTCCACTAGATCAGGTTGCTCCATTCAACTTGGCCTTGAACACTTCCGGGGATAAGGCAGCCACAGCTTCTCTGAGCAACCTGTGCCAGGGGCTCACCACCCTCACAGGAAAGAGTTTCTTCCCAATATCCCATCTAACCCTGCTCTCTGTCAGTGTGAAGCCACTCCCTTTTGTCCTGTCACTCCAGGTCCTTGTCCAAAGTCCCCCTCCAGCTCTCTTGGAGGCACTGGAAGTGGCTCTAAGGTCTCACCAGAGCCTTCTCCAGAGCCCCATCTCTTCCAGCCTGTCTCCATAGCAGAGGTGCTGGCTGTCCCCTCAGAAGTGTCAGACCCATGGCCCTCACTGCCGGCCCACGCTCCATCCCTGCTTCCCGTCCTGCCCTGTGCGGTGTCGCAAGAGCCGACAGCCCCGGCTGGGCTCCCACAAGCCATTCCAAAGAGCTGCCTGGAAGTCATTTGCTGACCACAGAGGCTCCTCGGAACTGCCCCACACTGCGAGTGCAATTCCTCATGGTTGGCTTTGTGCAAACGCGGCTGGAGCCTCCGGACACCGCTGCCATCATACAAGTTATTAACAACGGTGCTAATGAGTTCCATTAAGCTGGAACGGCTGCCCAAAGCGCCCCAGGACAGCCAGGTCCCACGAGCATATTCCTGGGAGTCTGGGTCTCCAGCCCCAGTGCTGGCAGGTGTCAGCACACAAATCTGCTTCCATTTACCATCTTTTTTTTGTCCTTTACAGAGAAATCTCTGATGAAGGGCTGGAGGCAGCAACATTTTTAGCTGTCCCTTTTCTAGCCAAACCCTTGGAGAACCAAGATTTGCAGGAGGGGAAAAAATGCCATCCCCACAGGAGACTGGTTCCAGACAGCAGACTCCCCTGGGCTGCAGGACAGTCCACAACAACCCCAAGAGCTGTTTTTTGTCTGTGTGCTTTTAACTGGATTGGAAGATGACAGGTTCTCCTTGCCTGACCAAACCAAAGATCAAGGATGTATCTGTGAACTCAGTCCCCCAGACAGCCCAGCCTCTGCCTGAGTGCCTCAGACAGCTGGGAGGCTTGCAACAGGACTTGGGAATCCGTGAACTCGGCTTTCAGCCTCCCCTTCTGCACACTGCTGGGCTGGGGACACAGCAGCTGGTAACGGTTTAAATTAGAAGCTTACATTCACTTAACGATGTATTCAGCTTTGATTTACTACAGAAATTACTGCCTGTTAAATGAATACAAGCTGATTATTAAACAGACACAGATTGCAACCTATCATCTCTGCAAGAGATGGGATCTTATTACGATATTAGAACCAGACTGAGCTTTAGCAACTGTCAATTGGTCCCTCACAATGTGCACTGAGCAACTGTCCCATTGCCAACCCCACTTGGAGACACTTGGCTCGATGCTGTTCCAGTGGTCTCCAGCCACCCCCACACCTCCCAGAGGCAGAGCAGGGGGTGCTCCAACAGCCATACTCACCCGAGAGGGTCCAGGTCTCCCCCACCAACAGCAAAGGGATTCACGGAGGACGGCCTGAAACACAACACAGCGAGACATTCAGGGACGGGCATAGCAGCTCCCACAGCTGCGAGATGGGGACCTGACATGTAGGTTGGGGAGCTGTGTCAGGACCACATCCCCTCTAACAGAGGGCCCTCGGCAGCCACCCACTCTTTACTCACCAGGATGGGGCCCTTGTGCCCGCCGGCTGCCGGGGAGGGATCCGGAGGGGGTCGTCATCCCGCTGCAAATCCTTTTCGGACTCAGGCTCCTTTTTGGCCTTTTCCGTGGGGGCCCCGAGGGGAGCAAGGATGCCTGAAGTGATCCTTGTCCTCAGCTCCTCGGTGTTCTTGTACACCCTGCAGTGAGGAGAGGGAAGGCAGAGGGCTGGGGAGACCATGGCACCAGGACGTGAGGTGCTGGACAAGGCTGCAAGAGGCACAAGGAGGGGACAGACGACCCCAAAGTGTGCCTGGCACAAAACATGTCCCCCACTGGCAGCACAGAGGGGACAGGGAGAGGTAACAGCACACAGGGGCACCAAAGCTCTCATCCCATTTCAGATGGCCAGGGTGTCATCCAGCCCAGGGACTCCCTTCTGCTGTGGCCCCAGCCTAACCAGTTTGCACTGGAGGAAAGCACAGCACATGGCACTGGTCTTTAGCAAGGCCACAGGGTGTCTGGGATGTGGCTGAAGCTGTCACACCCCTGGGCAGTGTCCAACCAGCGCAGTGCTCTGGAAATAAACATTCTGGCCTGGCCCGTTCCCAGGCAGGGTACCCTCCACTGGGCTCCAACCCATGGTAACACTGTTCCCTAAATCTCTCCTGCCTGACAGCAGCACATAGAGAGGCAGGGAAGGGAGCTCTGGCTGCATTTCAGGGCTGGCCTGGGCTTTGTACTGGGGAGGAAAGTCCTCCAGGTCCTTCCAACCTGGTTTCCCCCACACTCCCCATGCCAGTGGAACATTTTCTCCTGCAGAAAATACCAGGAAACTAAGATTACTTGTGGAAATCATCCAGGTGCTCTGGGTTGATGTAGTCGGCCACTGCCAAGGTCACATCTGCCACCTTCTGAGAGCCACGATCCTGGAAAAACACAGGTAAAGCACAGAGTGAGTGGCCTGGCAGAGGTGGGAAGGAGTGACAGAACAGGTACAACCACAGCTGGGGGCTTGAGACACAATGGGCCTCACTTGCTTCCTGCCATGTCCCTGTGCTGTGCCTAAATCCCCAGGAGGAAAACCCCGTGTGCAGCAAGGTTTTCCCTGCTCCCTCTCCTAATCTGGGCTGCAAAAGGTGAAACACTGAGCAAAACCACCCTGGGCAGGTGCTTGTTGGGGGCTGCAGAAAAGTCCTGAGCTAGGAAAGGGACAGAATAGCTCCTTGGCTGGAGCGCACAAGGCAAACTGTCCCACTGCCCTGACACAGCCAGGGTTTGACCAGCTTCACACTGGGCCATACCTTCTGCCACACAAACACCCCATCCTGAGGGGCAAACACTGCTGCCAGGCAGGACAAGCAACAGCAAACATTTAAGAAATGGGCCCTGCTGTTCTTTGCAGCCACCGATCCTGAAGGACCCCAAACCCACAGGGGACAGAATGGATGCTCACCATGACATTGAGGATCATGCTGTCCTCCACCATGATGGCCTTCAGCAGCAGCTCACGGGCATCATCTGTGGACTTGTAGCGCAGTGTATACACCTCCTTGTTGGCTTCCCAGCCAGCAGGCAGCAGCTCTGACTTCCTTTCATCAGGACCTGGCTGCAAAGGAAGAGACAAGCTGCCGAAATCCTGCCCAGGAGCCCAGCACCACCTCCTAGGACTGAGGGAACATGTCTTGGCTGCAACGGGAGATCCAGAAGGGGACTGAGGTCTCTGAGATGGGATCTCTCAGCCTGGCCCTTCCTGCATCCTTGTGTTGGAACAGGACAGACATGACCATCCCTTGCTGAGCCTCAGGAGCAGGCAACAAAGACCCAGAAGACCCAGAGAGGAGATGGTGCTCTTCCCTGCCAGGCACCTCTCACCTCCCCAATGTGACACAGAGCTGTCTGGCTTCAGGGGAAGGCTGTCATCACATCTGTCCCAGCCCCACAGCAGTGCTGCCAGAGGGCACTGCCCTACGCTGTCCCCTCCTCTGGTACTGAGGGAGGGTTCTCTGCCATGACAGTGCCCTGCACCGCCCCACTGCCCCCCAAAACTACAGCAGGCACCCTCCCAATACCTCCAGCTCCATACCAGGCTCCCAACCCACTAGATCCCCACCTCAGTACTGTGTCCAGAACTAGCCTGCCCCCCCTCGGTATTGCCCCACTGCCCCCAGCACTGGGACTCCCCAGCAGCACATTTCCTCCCCAGCACTGCACTGGACACCCTCCTTTTGGTACAGGGTCCCCCTCAGCACCAAGCACTATATTAATCCCCTTCCCGGAACCACACTGAATCCCACCAGCATCGGGATCTCCCATCCTTCGATACGCCTGTGACCACCCCCAGCACCGGACCCCGGAGCCCCCAGCACCGGGATCCCCCTAGAACCGGGACCCCTCCCAGCACAGGGACCCCGCAGCCCCCAGCACTGCCGCCGCCCGCCCCGGCTCCCACAGCAGCACTGAGGCCCCTCGGACCCTTCAGGTTCCCCCAACACCGCGCGGCTCCCCCCGCCCCGCAGCGGTGGCCGGGCCGGGCCGGGCGGCGCCGGCGAGCGGCGCTAGGAAAGGCCGGGGCTTCACCGCGGCCTCCGCGGCCTCCGCGGACAGGGGAGCGCGGCGCGGCCCCTACCTGGTCCCCGGTGCCCAGGCAGCGGTAGCCGTGTCGGACCAGCTCCCAGTGCACGCCGCAGACCAGCGCGTCCTGCGGGCGGGAGATGGCGGGCCTGGCCCAGGCGTAGAGCGGCTCCAGCCCCGCCATGGCTGCTCCGGGCCGGGGCGGAGCCGCGGCCGCGCCGCCCCTCACTAGAGGGCCCCCGTCCGCTGCGCAGGGCCCGGGCGGCCTCCGCGGGGCCGCAGGACCGTCCCCTTGTGCTCGGCAGCGAGGAGGCCCCTGGAGCCCTGGGAACATTTCTGGGTCCCTCACGACAAGACAGACACTGAGGGGCTGGAGCGTGTCCAGAGGAGGGAACGGAGCTGGGGAAGGGACTGGAGCACCAGGAGTGGCTGGGGGGCTCAGCCTGGAGAAAAGCAGACTCAGGGGGGACCTTTGCGATCTCTACAACTCCCTGACAGGAGGGGGAGCATCAAGGGGGGGGAGCCGGGGGTGTGTGTCGGGCTCTGCTCCCAGGGAACAAGGGACAGGACAAGAGGAAGCAACTTCAAATTGCACCAGGGGAGGTATAGGTGGGATACTGGGGGAAATGTCTTCAAAGAAAGGGTTATCCAGCCCTGGCACAGGCTGCTCTGGGCAGCAGTGGAGTCACCATCCCTGGAGGGATTTAAAAGATGTGTAAATGTGGCACATGGGGATGTGGCTTAGTGGTGGCCTTGGCAGTACCAGGGGAATGGTTGGACTCAATGATTTTAGAGAGCTTTTCCAACCTAAAGGATTCCATGATTGTATGAGAGGTCTTTGCCCAGCACCATCCAGCAGCCTCCAGGTTAGAGTAATCCTGATCCTCCTTCCCTGCCACTGGGTCTTCCTTGTCAGTCAGAAAAGCATTTTGAGTCCATGCAGGGTCTGCGCGTGCTGCTGTAGAGAGCCTTCCCACTGACACCAAAGGGACCAAAGCACCAAACAGCCGTTGATGGCTGTTTCATCCCTTCCACAACTCCCTTCTCTGGGCCACAGTGTTTATAACACCTAAATTCTATTAAAGTTGCCACTGGAAGGCGTTCAGAGGCTTATTCAGAGGCTTATTTGCCCTGCCCTTGGGCCAGAGCCAGTGTCCTCGCTGTGGCTGGCAGGAGGCCGGGGCTTGGGATGAAGCAGGCCCATGCCAGGGAATACCATCATCTGCTGCTTTCCCAATCTGAGCTCCAGCTCCTTGGGGATGCTCATCTTGACTTCATTATGCGTCAATTAATTAACTCGCACTGTTCGCTCTTTCCATTTCCCCCTCAAGAAGTCACTGAGGCTGAACAACCGACCGCAGCCCGGCAGCTCCCATGGGAATCACCACCAGGAGACACCGCGCCTCCTGCCACACTCTGCCGCTCCTGTCTTCACGGAAGACAGCTGGACATGTCAGGAAAGCTACTGCGGATTTTCCATGGGGCTGGAATTTCAGCACGGGAGCTCCATGAGGGAGGTATCAGATGGGGATGTGTTGGGAACAGCAGGAAATGCCTCAGCCAGAGCTTCTCCATCGCTGAGATGTGATTCAGAGCAGCAGCAGCATTTCCACCCCACGGCTCAGCTCACTCCTGGCGGGCAGAGGCCGTGGTTGCTGACTTTGAAAACATCCACATTTCACTTTCCCACACAGCCTGGCCCTGGGTGGGCGAGGCGGGTACCAGTGGCTCCATTAGAATGTCCCTTCCTGACGCATAGTTTGAAATTGTGGGTCTCCCTCCAGAATCCTGTATCCCAGTGCTGCTAACTGGCTTTCCCTCGCCTTCCTGCAGAGCTGCTCCAGGTGCTGGAGCACATGGGTGTTTGGGACTGGTGGCCTCAGGAGCCGTTGGTGCTTTAGTGGGATCACGCAGAAGCTCTGCCGAGTGCTTACCAAGCTTTCCCTTTCCCATCCAAATTGCTGCCATTCCTGTTCATCCACCATCTGCTCTCCACCCTCTCACCCATCATCACGTGCTCCCATCCAACCCTCAGGTTGTCCTCCTGTGGCCTCACCTCCGTGTCCATTCTTGGTTACCCGCGTTGTGTCAGTAACCCAGACCGCACATGAGAAGCAACTTCTGGTGCCAAGTCCCCCTTGGCCTGAGCAGCCCTTCTGTGGGCAAGGCAGAGGGAAAGCAGGATGCCTCCGTACATCCCCTTGCCATGAGTCTCTCCTGGCAGCCAGACTATGCTGTACCTGAGCCCGCGGACTCAGGGCTGGCTGCCACTACATCAAAGCCACTGCTCTGGTGCCCACAGTGCCACGCTGGCCCACATCGCCTGACTCCCCGTTGGCTCCTTCCTCTGCTCCAGTGCCTCACTCGCTCTGTGGCTTGTTGATGTTGAAAACCACTGGCCACATGAAAGCAGCCCCCTAATGCGAGTTAGGGGCCTGTGAGCTGCGTGGGAGGTATGGACGGCCTGGCCCTGGCTGGGATCAGCGGCCAAGTCACTAACGAGGTGACGAGGATTGCAGAGCTTGCGCAGTCGTGCTGCAAGGCGAGTGCGTCACGGCGGCTGCCGAGCACGCCAGTGCCGTCGTTGGAGCAGCCATGTCCTTTTTGTGGCTGCTGGAGCACAGCCGGGAGTGGGAGTGATGCTGTGGGAGCTGAGCAAAGCCCCCAGAGCAGCCCCGCCACCTCGCACATGTTCATGCCCAGCTCTTGCACCAGGGAATCTACCCTTGGCCATTCTCCTCCCTCTTTTACCTGGGAATACAATTCCAGCTGCTCCCCGCTGGAACGTGGACCAGGGAGATGTCCCAGGGGAGGTGATGTCTGGAGCTGCTCCGGCAGGGCGGTGGTGCTCGGAGCAGGTAGAAGGATGCATCAGCTGGGATCACCTCCATCACGCAAACCGCAGCCTCCCCTGACCTTCATACTTTCCCACTGCCTCACAGCTCCCGTTGCATGCGCCCACTGCAGTGTTGTAACGAGCAGAAGAGGAAACAGATTTCCCAACCGCCCGCCCTGCTGGCAGCCCGCGAGCCGTCCGTGCTGGGAATGGCACCCGGCACAGCCAGGGCAGCTGGCTCACCCCTGTGCCGTGCTGGGTGTGCCGGCTATCACCCAGGGCCTGGCGAGAGGGGCCGTGGATAATCCCTGGCTGATGTTCAGGTGTTGAAAGCTGCTGCTTCCCTCAGGGTCAGCTTGCTACTGCTCCTCTCCCACGGATGGGAAAGCCTCTGGGCATCACCTCACCCGGGGTCAGCAGGGCCGGGTGCTGGATGGCACTGCCATGTTTCCTACCAGGATCCCTGTGCTACTCCATGCAGGCACCACTTTCCCAGCACACAGTGGGGAGGAAAGATGGGATCCCTTGCTGCAGAACAGGGAGAGCCAGCAGTGCTGGGGCAGGTCCTCCATGCTCTGCTCAACCACCCTCCCCAGGACTTACTGGTTCGTAAGCAGCCACCTGATTGTGACTGAAACCACTGTGCCAACAGGGGTGGAGTGGGACAGGGGTTCTTGGAATGGGCTTCCCACCTCGTTCCCATCATTGCCTTGGGAGGGTAGGTAGTCACTCCATGAAAATTTGGCCTCCATTTCCCCTAAATTCAATTCCAGGGAAAGATGACACTGAGGCAGGAGAAAGGGGTTTTTTCTCCGGGGCAGAAATGCAAACCACATGCGGATGAACTCGTTGCAGTGGCAGGAGGAGGGACCGGGGCTGCAAGAGCCGGCGCTCAGCAGCGAGGCCGAGCTAAAGTCAATTAGTGCTTCAGGACTCTGAACACACCCGAGCGCTGTGCTTTGAGCAGGCGTGATCCTTGTCAGAGGGAGGCTGCCAGTAGGGTTTGAAAATAATTAGGAAGCCCAGAACCCCAGTGTTTCCCAGAACAGCCTGTTAGTTCTGTGGTGGAAACCTTGCTCACAGGGAGCACATCACACAAACACAGTTGTGACTCATCAACTGGATGGAGCTAAACTCCATTTTTCGGAGGTCAACATGCTTGAGTCCCAAAGAGCTTTACCCTTGGCAGGGCTCCTGCACTCCCTTTGCCTGCCTTAATTCTGGGGATGCCCAGCACACCTGAGAATAGGGGGGACCGGTTTCATGGGATGTGTTTCATTCAGAGACTCCAACACCTTCCAAGGGGGCAGCAGCGATGGGGAAACTGAGGCACAGCCCCATTCCTGCAGCCTGGGTGGACACTGTCACCCCCCCTGCTCTCGAGGGACCTCGGCTATGAATCCAAACGGTCCAGGACAGCCTTGGAGGAACAAAACAAGACAATCAATCACCCTTGCTTCATCCTGCTCCAGCCTGCATTGTTCGGAGCCTGAGGGACTCCACATCAAAGCGGACAGCAGCTGGCTGCCGGGGTGTCCCAGCCCCAGACGGGCAGCGCCCTGCCCACGGGCTGCCTGTCTGCACTGCCCAAGCGGGCTCAGCCTCTGCTCGCTGCCCGAGGCCCGGCGGCAAAGCCGGGGTGCAGCTCTGCTCCCTGCTCCGGGTACGGAGGGAGATGCCCGAGGTCACGGCGGCTGCAGAGAGCACCGAAGGCGGGGGCGCACGGATGCCGGGACCCCACTGCAGCATCCCAGGGCCGGCAGCACCTCCCCTCCAAAGGGGCGAGGAGGAGGTGGCATCACACACGGCCGAATAGCCAGTCCCATTCCAACTCATTCTGGAGCTGTGGGAAGCCTGCGGAGCACAGCCTGCTCCCGCCGTGCAGCTCCCGCTATCCTCACAAGACCCTTTCCTTTGCAGTTCCTTCCATGCCACACAGCGATCGTTTCTCCCGGGTTGCAGCCCCAGCGCTGCTGCAAGCAGTACGTGAATTTTTTGATGTCTTTTGCAGCTCCCCAGCATTTCTCCCCATCCCAGGCACGCACTGCTGGGATGAGGCAGTGTTCTTGCAGAGCGTTGGCTTCACGGATGGTGGTGAATATTCCCTGATGAAACTGGACCAACGTGCTGCCCAGTGGGGCTGGGGGTAGTGAGGAAATGCAAGGGGTCCAGTTTTGGTGGGCTGGGCTGCACCGTGGTCAACTAGCAGGATTGCCCATCTGGGATGGGGAGTCTGGGCAAGGGAGAGCACCCAGACCCCCCTGGAGCAGTGCCATATGTGGGTGCAGCAGTGCAACAGCAATTTGGGTGCAAACCCCCAAATATCCCCTATTTTCTCCCTGGCAAAAGGTCAGCGTGGCTCTGCCCCGTGACCATAGCATGGGGCTGAGTAGGAAGGACACAGCTCTGGCAGCCTGCGGGACACACGTGC